TGTGTGTGTGTGTGTGTGTGTGTCTATATATATATATATGAAATGTAAGCAGAGGAATATTTACTATTGCTTGCTCCATATAATAGAAACCTCTGAAGAATCTTTATTACATGGCATAAAACAGCTTCTATTGACAAGAAAAGTCTGGAACTGGGCAAAGAAACAGTTTACTGAACTGACAAAACATGCCAATGTAACCATAAGCCTTGCAAATACTTCCTAAAAAATGTGCAACAGTAGGTGGCAATCTGAACCTGTCATTTTTCAATACTAATCGATTGAATGTAGCAAACAAAATTGAAATGGCTGGACGACCCAAACAGAACGAATACAGATAACCTATGTATATGTGAAAAGGCCTGTTATACACATAATGAACTGACTGCATTCTCAAATAATTTGTCTGATAATTAAATATACTGAAATTAACCTGGTTCTGCAATTAAATATGATAACCTTGCAAATGGATACCAAGACCTCAGAAGAAACTCCTGCCTCCATCTTCAAGGCCACTTTGGCCTTAATCATGGGAAGTTACTAAGTAAAATACCAAATTACGCTAAAATCAAAATAAAAGGAAATAACCCAAATATCTCATTAATAAAATACAAAGCTGAAACATTATACATAAAATTAGAAATCAAACAACTGTATAAAAAGAAACAACATTTAATTATACTAGCATATCAAAAACACTTAGAAGTTGCCAACATGTGGAAAGATTTTTGGTTGATCATTGAAAACAAAATAATATGTAAATTACAAACTGAATTTACCAATTTATACCAAAAACAAAACGATAAAATACAAAAACTAAAAGCTAAAATACAGAATAATAATAACAATAACTCTCAACCGGACGTATTGCTGTATCCTTTTTCTTGCCGAATTAAAAATCTTACAAACACCCAATTCACACAACATGAATACACGTTACTGAGCAAAGAATTAAAATACAACCTACACCACAAACAAAAAACATGGATTGAAAACCTGGCATTGGAAGCCAAAACCGCTGTGAATCTAATACCTATACATAAACAAGACCACATACGTCACTTAGTTGCAAATAACATTGAACACTTAATAAAACAAAATAAAATCAATACACAATATAATAAGATACACGCAAACGAATGGAAAACAATAAAAAGTATAAAACAAAAATTACAACAAAACGAACTGACAATCAGATAAAGAAAAACTATCGTCATTCTTTCTATAGAACAATATCAACAATACATTTCACAATTTATCAACCAAAATTCATTTACAACATTAACACATAATCCTACACCAAATTATCAAAAAGTAACCCAAAAATGTAAAAACATTTTTAATCCACCAAAAACCCAATACTATAACCACAGCGGAACTTCACCCACAATCACAGGACTCCTCAAATTACATAAAAATCCCTATTCCATCAGACCTTTGATAAACTGGACATCAGCACCAGCTTACAAAATCTCATCAAAAATAGCCAATCTCTTAAAAGATTACTGCAACCTACCAAACACTTTTAATATAACAAATTCTATAAATTTAATCAATGAACTTAAAGAACTCAACCTTAATAAAGACTTACGAATTTGTTCATTCGATATTACTAATATGTACACTAATATCCCCACAAATACTTTACAAGA